GATTTTGAAAAATTCTGTCAAAATTCGATGTTAAAATGCTTATAAAAAAAAATTGTGCCTATGTATTTTTAATATTTTTCAACTGATATTGTAACAATATATCAGGAGCCTTGTATTAAATTTTTACACTTTTTGGCCCAACAGATAAAACTTAATTAATATTTATAGAAAAAAAAAACTAAAAAAATTGAAAACTGAAAATGTCCGTAAACGGCTCAAAAAGAGTCAAAATATTTTCAAAATTGTATGGTGTATAGGAAATGCTAATATAAACATTCAGTGAAATTTTCATGTATCTACAGTAATTCGTTTTTTAATTACAACAAAAAAAGGAAATTGCCACATGAGAAATCGAGTGAATATCCAATGTTGTAAAAATTTGAATTTCAAACGCTCATAAAAATTTAATTTGACTTTCCGGTAGAGATTTTTTTATTGATAAAGGTAGACAATCTTATGAGTAATCTTGTATTAGATTTTCAAATCTTAGATTTAAAAAGAAAAATTTTTACGAATTCTTAACTCAAAATAATTTGCTAATTTTCGTGATTTTTCCATATTTTGTCAATTTTTGAACTTTAAATGCTTATAAAAAAAATTGTGACTAAGGATTTTTAATATTTTTCATCTGCCCTTGAAACAATATATTAGGAGCCTTCTATTAAATTTTCAAGCTTTCGCAACCAACAAATAAAATTTTATTGATATTTCTAGAAAAAAAACTAAAAAAAAACTAAAAATGAAAATGTCCCTAAACTGTTCAAAATAAATCAAAATATTTTGAAAATGTTATCGTGTATAGAAGATGCAAATATAAACAACCAGTGAAAATTGCATGTACCTACGGTCATTTGTTTTAAAGTTACACCAAAAACCAAATTCAATTTTCTGAAAAATCGATTTTGCGTAAAAATTCCCGTTTTTCCTTAATTTTTCTTTTGTTTTTCCCGGCGCTCTTGAAAACTACTGGGAAATTTAAATTTTGACCTCCCCAATGCACCAACGATATTCACTTTCCAATCGAACAAGATACTGAAGTCGAAAATCGAAGCATTATTTCGACTACTTATCGTGTACACAGACACAAAAAAAATAAAAAATAAAATAAAAAAAAAAATAAAAAAAAATTAAAAAAAAAACACACATCATTGTAAAATCAATACATTCATCGTTTCACTTAGAATCTAAAAACTAATAAAATTGGAAACTGAAAATGTCCCTAAACAGTTCAAAATAAATCAAAATATTTTGTAAATGTTATCGTGTATAGAAAATGCAAATATAAACAACCACTGAAAATTTCATGTATCTACGGTTATTTGTTTTAAAGTTACACCAAAAACCAAAATCGATTTTTTGGAAAACCGATTTTGCGTAAAAATTCCCGTTTTTCCTTAATTTTTATGTTATTTTTCCCGGCGCTCTTGAAAACTACTGGGAAATTTAAATTTTGACCTTCCCAATGCACCAACGATATTCACTTTCCAATCGAACAAGATACTGAAGTCGAAAATCGAAGCATTATTTCGACTACTTTTCGTGTACACAGACACAAAAAAAAAAAAAAAAAAAAAAAAACACACATCATTGTAAAATCAATACATTCATCGTTTCACTCAGAATCTAAAAATATAAAAATATTTGTATAAAAGTCGTTATAATAATAAACTATTATATTTCAAGTTGTTTATTATTTCTATTGCTTTGCACGCTTTGCTTTACTTTACGCTTAAGTCATAAACTCAGCTTTGAATAATTAATTTGTATTTTGTTTGATATCCTATTTGAATATTTTATATTTAGTTTATTAATGTATGTGTTATCTATGAAAATATGTTTTTATTAAGTATGTTTTTGATACTAAAATTCTGTAATGAAAAACTGAAAACACTAGAAAGGTGGGTAAGTGGATGTCGCTCTGCTGTACAGTAGGTTACAAGTGGGTCACTGTATAATGGATGGTATTAAATTTGAATTCAATGATACAATATCATTGTATAAGAAAAACGATTCTGAGCGAAGACGGTATGTCAGTCTATAGGTTATTAAGACATTATATATACAGGGTGTCCCGTGAGGATTTACCTATTAGCCGTATAGGGGGACTCGCCGCCCGGACAAAAACCGGTTTTTTGCCGTTTTACTTATTAATTAAAAAAATTATTAAAAATCAGAAAATTAATGAAATTAAAATGTTGAAACGTCAATATTTTCAGAAAAATGAACTCTACAAAATGGCAATCTTCAATATTTTTTTAAATAATTAATTAAAAAAATAATTTTTTTAACTTTTTTACCAAAACATAAAAAAAAAAATAAAAAATTAGTTATTTGTAGTGCTTATCGCTGTGAGTCTTAAAAAGAAAACAGAATTACGATATCTCTATTATTTCAGGAGATATCGCAATGAGTAAATCCTCACGGGACACCCTGTATATATATCTATTTTGTTAAATTATATGGAATTTATGAATAAATTCCTTAAAATATGCACAGTCTTATCATGAACATACTTCTTATTCCTTATAGTATGGTAGATTGTATGGATAGGCCTGAGGCCATAATGTTTTGATTTTTCAGTTTCATATATCCCCGAATAATATTTTTAAATTGCAACAAAAACAAAGATCGTTAATATTGATTTTAATATGTAATTTCGTCCAAATTTGAATTTAAAATGTCTGTAAAAAATAACTGTGTTCATATATTTTTTAGATTTTTTGGTTACAGTATGAACTATTTATGAGAACCTTTGTTTTAAATTTGCAATCCTTAACTATAAAAACTGAACATTTTATAATTTATTAATTACAATGATTGATAATTTTTGAGATTTTGATAAATTTTGTCAAAATTCGATGTTTAAATGCTTATAAAAAAAAATTGTGCCTATGTATTTTTAATATTTTTCAATTACTATTGTAACAATATATCAGGAGCCTTGTATTACATTTTTACACTTTTGGGAAAACAGATAAAACTTTATTGATATTTATAGAAAAAAAAACTAAAAAAATTGAAAACCGAAAATGTCCGTAAACAGCTCAAAAAGAGTCAAAATATTTTCAAAATTGTACAGTGTATAAGAAATGCTAATCTGAACATTCTGTGAAATTTTCATGTATCTACAGTTATTCGTTTTTGAATTACAACAAAATAAGGAAATCTCTACATGAGAAATCAAGTGAATATCCAATGTTGTAAAAATTTGTTTTTCAAACGCTCATAAAAATTTAATTTGACTTTCCGGTAGAGATTTTTTTATTGATAAATTTAGACAAACTTATGAGTAATCTTGTATTAGATTTTCCAATCTTAGATTTAAAAAGAAAAATTTTTACGAATTCTTAACTCAAAATAATTTGCTAATTTTCGTGATTTTTCCATATTTTGTCAAGTTTTGAACTTTAAATGCTTATAAAAAAAAACTGTCACTAACGATTTTTAATATTTTTCATCTGCCTTTGAAACAACATATTAGGAGCCTTCTATTAAATTTTCAAGCTTTCGCAACCAACAAATAAAATTTTATTGATATTTCTAGAAAAAAAACTAAAAAAAAAATGAAAAATGAAAATGTCCCTAAACAGTTCAAAATAAATCAAAATATTTTGAAAATGTTATCGTGTATAGAAAATGCAAATATAAACAACCAGTGAAAATTTCATGTATCTACGGTCATTTGTTTTAAAGTTACACCAAAAACCAAAATCGATTTTCTCGAAAACAGATTTTGCGTAAAAATTCACGTTTTTCCTTAATTTGTCTTTTGTTTTTCCCGGCGCTTTTGAAAACACCTGGGAAATTTAAATTTTGACCTCCCCAATGCACCAAAGATATTCACTTTCCAATCGAACAAGATACTGAAGTTGAAAATCGAAGCATTATTTCGACTACTTATCGTGTACACAGACACAAAAAAAAAAATAAATAAACACACATCATTGTAAAATCAATACATTCATCGTTTCACTCAGAATCTAAAACGTTTTTTTAACGATTGGCCTGGAGGTGGGAAAAAATTGTCCTCTTTAATTGTTTGCACACCTTAAAAAAAAACTGAAATGGCACCCCTGCAAGACGTTATCGTACATTATCGCCTTGTATTTTGTCACAAAAGGCATATTATCCGTTACCTATTAATAGTAGATCACGAGTCACGACGGACCCGGTAGATCACACGCTTTACCAATGCCCAAAAATGCATTATAATGTTATCGTATACACGGTGTCCCTCGAGGATTCACCCATTAAAATATCTCCTGAGATAATACATTTATCATAAATCTGTTTTTTTTTTTATATTAGACTTGCTGAGACAAGGACTACATATTATATATTTTTAATTTAATTATACTTAATTGTTTTGGTAAAAATGTTAAAAATTTAATTTTTAATTTTTGAAACAATTAATTATATAGAATTAAATTTTCTGAAATGTTGACTTCAACATTTTATTTTCATTTATTTCATGATTTTTTATAATATTTATAGTTTATTTGTAAAACAGCAAAAAACCGGTTTTTGTCGGGGCAGTGAGTCCCACTCTATACGGCCAATGCTTACCTATATGGCTATATCCTCACGGGACACCCTATAATGTATAATGCATGAATATATATTACGGACATTTTCAAATTTCAATTTTAGATTCTGAGCGGAGCGATGAATGCATTGATTAAATGATTTTACTATGATGTGTTTTTTCTTAATTTTTAATTTTGAAATTTTTTTTTTTTTTATTTTTAAAAGAAATATACCATCTGTACCCAGAGACACAATAAGTATATGGGCTAATTTATGAAAGGCGTGAATGATTTGTTGGAAGAAGCCACCCAGTAGTGACACTTCCTATTGGCTTTTATTTTTATTTATTTATATTTTTTTTTTTTTTTTTTTATTGGTTATTAGTTAAGGAGATCTCGTTAGGATTAAGTTAGATGATTTTTTGGACCATTATCATTAATTGTAAAACTAGGAGGGACTTATTTGTAACAGAATTATTCATTTTTCCTAGCCAATAGACTTGAGATTACTTGAGTAAGTAATGAGATTAACGGATTGATAAGAGTCTTAAGCTCGCTTACAAAGCTTGACATTAAAGAATTAATATCAGGAGTTGGCGGAGGAATATCAGATTTTACATGTTGGCCTTGAGTTGCCTGGGCATACGTTTGAGATTGGTCAGAAGGAGGATTGTAGGAAGTGGTATTACGTGGGTGGCTATCTTGTACATTGTTAGACTTATAACTAGAGTTTACATGTAATTTGTGATTATTTAGGTTGGTTTTCTTACGTTGCTGGAGGTCTTTATAAACTGTACATCCCCTGTAGTTTGCTGGGTGGTTACCTGTGCAGAGGGCGCATCGCATTGGGTCTTGTCGTGAGTTTGGACAGGCAGATGAGGAGTGGTCATCACCCATTGGCGCAACTAGGGGGGGTGCTTTGGGTCCTTAGCACCACCTAAGTCAAAATTAGCACCCCCTAGAAAATTTTTATTTGTTAGGTCTCATTGAATCACAAAAAAACCTGGAGCTTAAGCACCCCCTAGTTCAAATGTGTAGTTGCGCCAATGTCATCACCGCACCGGACACAGCGAGTACTATATCCGCAGTAGGCTTTAGTGTGACCATAAGCTTGGCAGTTATGACATTGGCTGATAATTTTTGGTTTATGAGGTTCTTCTATTTTAATTTTTGTGTGCAGTAAGGATTCAAGTTTAAAGATTTCATTTGAATTTGAATGATCTGTCGGCTCGAGGTCGACAAAAAATAATGGCAGGGGTATTTTACTAATTCTGTGAATAACCTGCGTAACTTGTCTAACTTCGTATAGGCGATGTTCAAGTTCACTTTTGATCAATTCCGTTGAAGTAGATGGGTGTAAGTTACGAATAACTATGCGCATTGGCTTATCTTCCTTTAGCTGGAATGTATGGAATTCAGCATGTTCATTTCTTAAGTATTGGACTAATGTTCTATATGCTCCGGGATTGGAGGTTTGGATTTTTAAATGATCAGCCGTTGACTTGCAAATAAAGTTATCGACACCGATTAATTCGATTAATTCTGTACAAACACCGGGGAAGTCTAATACGCCTCGCATGAAGATTGGAGGGGGTGGTTTAGAGTAAGTGAGAACTGGATCAGCAGACTGCTTTTCCTCTATAATAGTTTCAGTAATTTCATCAGCTGGTTCGGTTGATTTTAATAATTCAAACCGATTTTGAGTCACAAATAATTTTTTGCTTACATGTTGAAGTAAATTTGGTGACGATGGTTCTGAATTGGACGAGCTTGAGAGATTACGTTTATTATCATTATTGGCAGGTTTCTTCGGTGGCTTGGATTTAATTACAATTGCATTTTTAGTCTTGTTATTATTATTTGTATTATTTTGTTTACGGTTATCCATATTTAAATGTTTACTGTGTTGATAGATAAGTTTTTACGGACTACGAAATCGATTAATTAAAGTCGAGTACGTAGATTATAATATTAATATCTAATATTGTCGTAATCGCGTGGACAAAGGTCACCGCCGGGCGATGCCTTGAAGTGTGATTAGGTATATTATAAAACCATGCACGTATACTTAGTAAACTTAAATCTATTTCCACAAATGAAGGTTGATTTTTGCAGCTGGTAGACACTGGGGTCAACAGCTTCATAAAAAACTGCGTCGATTGATATAAAGTACGAAAATTTCCGACAAGTTTAAACGACACTACTTTAAACATAACACGGAGGCATAAAAACGTGTGCATTCAGCTTGGCTGTCCGCGTGTGACTGAATTTTGAAATTTAAAATTTTTTTTTTGTGTCTGTCATCACGGTTTGGGGCAGTAAACTGCTTCGATTTTCTTTAACAGTATCTTGTTCGATGGGAAAGTGAATCTAGTTGATGCACTCGGGAGGTCAAATTTACAAATTTTCAATAGTTTTCAAAAACGACGTGAAAAACAAAAGAAAAATGAAGAAAAAACGGGAATTTTTACTCAAAATCTTTTTTTCAAAAAAATCGTTTTTGGTTTTTGTTGCAACTATAAATAAAATGACAATAGATACATGCAATTTTGACTGAATGTTTATATTAGCATTTTCTATACACCATAACATTTTCCAAATATTTTGAACTGCTATTTTATGTTCGAATTCGGACGAAATTAAATATTAAATAACCAAGAATAACGATTTTATTTATTTTGTTGTAATTACCAATATTATTCGCGGTTCCTTGAAACTTCTAATTTATACTATTGTATACATATAATAATTCAAGTCAACCGGCTACCGTATCAATAATAACAATAAAATAAAAAAAATAATAAAATATATAATGGTATTATATTAACATTTAGCCTACTGTTCAGAGCAAAGTGATTTCCACTTACCCCCTTTTTCTTCTTGAAAATCTTGTTGTTGTTGTTGTGTACAGTTTTTCGTATTATATACTGTGCATCGGGTTTAGCCTGAAAAATGGACCTCCGTTTTTATGTTTCTACAATAACTTATACTGTGTTTATACATGTCATTGAAATGTGTTGGAAATTATTGTAATTATTCAGTGGTGATGCCAACATTTTAGTACCAGGTGGGCCAGGCTGCGGCCATCATTTATTAGGAGAGGCCAAAATGTTTACTTGATATAAATAAAAACAATAGTGGCGACAGGCTCTTACACAATAGGGGGGTTTGAACCCCCTTTCAAACCACGCATTGTCTTTTATTTTTCTAATAAAACATTAGCTATTGATTTAAACAATTTTTATGTAGGTACCTACTACCTACTTAAAAACTGTCTGCAAATATAGTACTATAATTTACTAATAATTGATGGAGTATCCATTTTATACATTTCTTTTTTTGTAACTGCCTCGATGAAGAAATCCTGTGCACGAACTTAAGTGGCAATGCTTCCTCCCTGACCTAAAAATCAAAATAACACCCAATACTAAGCACACCATCCGGAACCAATTGACCAATTGTAATATAATTGAGTAAATAGGTAACTATTATAAAACAATAAAACATAATTATACATATTTTGACTGACAATAAATATTATATGTTGTAATGCCAATTCCTACAACTCACGCAATGAGCATTCTAATTTTTAAAATATTTACTATTTACTAATTACTTAATATTTTAGTATTCAGATGATGGTCAACGATTAAGATTTATTTTCAATTTAAATTTTGCGTTGGGCCACTTGGGCCCAAGACTTTTTAAGAAAGACCCGGGCCGGCGGGCCTCCCCTGGAACCGCCACTGTAATTATTATATTATTTACCTAAGTAGATATTATGATAGGTTGACGGAAGGTAATTCCTGGGAAAGTAGAAAAACAGTCTGAATTATTATTTATTGAACAGATAACCAAAACCCATAGACATAGATGGCGCTGTACCGTGAATTTATTATTTTTATTTTGTGTTATAAGTTGATAAGAATCCTCGGTAAACATTATTTTTTTATCATACCGTATCCGTAATCCGTATACAGAGAATATTAAATAATCAAATCAAACAATAGAACCAAAGAACTGTTGTAGAAGTAGTGTTCTACTGTGTTCTCTTCTCTCTTGGTAGTCATTAAAATTTGAAATTGTTTGGTGTATACTGTTTACTGTCAAGTGACAACATTTTATTACCAACTAATGCCAATAACTACCAAGTTGTAATAAGTAATAGTCGGTTCCGAAAAATACCCAATTAGAAATTTTGATTTAGTTTGGTTATACCAAATATCAGCATTTTAAATGCGTGTTCTTGTAATATTGTAACATGTAATATATTTTTTTTTAACATTCAAGGTTTATATTTTTCATCAATTCTTAACATGGGTGTTACAATGTTAGTATTTCAGATGTTTTATTTTTTATTTTTAAATTAAGACTAACTATTTGTATGTGTTTGTATATATTTATTTTGAATGCTTGTAGTATACAACAGTTTCCAATGAAAGAAAATCGCACAGGTGCTCAGATAATTGAATTTCTTACAAAAAGGGTAAATGCACTTGGTGCCAAACAATGCGGTACATTTCTTGTTGACTGTGAGACATACGCATCTATACCTCAATTAGGTGAGTTGTACCTAACAAAATAATATTAAATTTGGTGAAAATTAACTAAAATAAATTCATGTCTAGGTGTCCAACGAACATTACATGTATTTCATAATTCAGAACAGCCAGCATCAGTGTTTGCAATCCTTGATAATGGTACTGGAAAAACTGTGCCTGTTGTAGCAGACGCATTATTTGATTTGCTTCTGTTGAAAATGTCCTCTGTGTATACCTCTAAAAAATCCAAAGTTGAGATTAGAGGTCCAAGATTTGAGCTAAACGATTTTGTTATTAAAATTGGAGCAATAAATATTAATCACAATGTTAAAGGCATTATTGTAGAGGTAACAAATAATGTGATTTGTCTCATGAGTTATTATAATAATAATATTAATAAGAAATGCTCAAATTTCATATAATACATTTATATGAATCAATTAAATGTTTTCTTAGATTTTTATTATAATTTCTAGAATATGTTTTTATATATAAATATAATAAAGTATAATTTCTAGATAGGTGCTTTATTCATATATGTCAATTTGTCATGCTTTTAATGCTGCTTCATTTTTATTTCAGGCGGAATATAGGCCTTGTGTTGTATTTGGCTTATGTTGGGATATGTTACGAGAATTTCTGCAAGGATTTTTAGGATCTTGTGTATCAAATATCCCACCACATTATTTTCAAGTAAGTAAAATTCTAGATTCTTAAAAAATTACATACATTAGAAACAAAATACATTTGGCCTTTATCATATAAGAAACTAATTTTTGTACAAACTAGGTAAGTTCCAAACCAAAACAATTTTCATACATTAACACGTTGACGGAGAGTCACTACTATAGCTGTCATAATAAAATAAGTCGAACTATGACCATGACTGGTATAAAAGTTATAAAGGTCCCCACACACTGCAGCGGTGGCGGTAGCAATTACGGCAAAATGAGTCCAGACACAATTTTACCTCCACCGCGGGGGCTACGCCAAGACAAAAGAATTTTACTGCCACCGCTGCAGTGTGTGGCGTCCTTAATACATTAAAAGTCATAAAATGGCATAATTTCTAAAGCAGTAGTTCCTATTGTGAATTACTCACAATTTGGGCAAAAAAAAAAAATCTAATATTCTAAAAAAATATCTAACCTATGGAGTTTGCCTGATCAGAGTGACTACAAAATTATAGTAATGTACATAACAACATGAGCAGTCATACCCGTCAATGTGTTAAATATATTTTTAGGTTGAGTGTAAGATAGGTATATAGTATAATAGTTAATAAAACACAAATTATAAGTCTTATTTAATTAATGAACAGAAAAAACATTATACGTATAGTTCTTAGGTTTTAAATTAATTGGGTGACTATTATTTTGTTTAATCTATTGGTGATTTATTATTTACCATCAGAAACTGCATAAGAATATTTAAATACAAATGTACTACCGAAATTGGAATGAGGGATTAAAATGAAATATTACTTTTTGATTTACAAACATGAGTCATACATTTTGAATACTGTACACTTTATACTTACAAATAATATTAGACATTAACATTATTTTATTAATAGTTATGTAAATATTAGAAAATTGGGACTTATTCGATGACTCACTATCTATAATACTTTCAATATTATTAATATCATTTGACATTTATGAATTATAAAGATGTATTTTTATAATTTACTTTTCAGAACCGTATGAATGATATTTTTCAACCACTGGACACCATTCAACAGTACTTAGATCATATAACCATTTATAGAAAAGCCACTGGAATATTACAACAGTATAATACCAATACCACTTAAATATATAATAGGTATATACATATACACTAATGGGATTATCTTTTTTTGTGTTCACAAAAGCCAACATTTTTTAAATATACTTTTATTATCAATAATTAAAAATTATGTTTTAGCTACTTAATATCATTATTATAATGGAAAAATATTGTAATATATTACATACATTTTTTAAATAGCCTTAATTATATATATTTGACTCATTGACATAATTATGCAGTATGCATATTAGCATTGAGTATATATTATATAAACAATATTTACTCAATGATATTAGATAAAATACAAATTTAAATAAATATAAGATTAAATACAATTTCAAATCATGTCACTAAAATGTTATGATTTGCGGTACAAATGCATAGGTAAACTTAGAATTAAAATTAATTAGAATTATTCAGTAATGAATACACAATTAAGTAGGAATATAATAAACATATTAAATGTATATATTAAAATAACAGGTGTAATTGGCACAAATAATGCAATTAATATTTTTATAAACCTTAAATTGAAAAAATAACAAAAAGCTTGATGACTTAATGACTTTTCAAATGTTATATATCTAAAATATAAGCATAACAAATTTTAGGAAAGTTGAATGTGATAGATACAAATTAAAATACGATACAAGTAAAATAAAATAAAAGACAATTCTGATTAGAAAAAAAAAAATGTTTTAGGTACTATTTATTTATAATTTGAGGCTTCAAAACAATTCTACAACACCTTTATTATCACTAATTGAATTTTTATTTTTATAAATTCACATGTCAGATCAAACTTGTCAGCCTTTTATGGGTCGTAATAAAAAATAAATATTTTATTTGAATATATTTTGATCAATTTTATACATGAACACTATAATCAAAGTATACACAATAATTAATACTCTAAGGCAATATTATTAAAAAATTAAATATACAAATAATACATTTGTCTATGAGTATTACAATTTTCTAAAAGCTTATGGTTACATTTTATGATTCATATAATTTTTAACTAACTACATACATTTATAATAAATTGTAAACACAATATTATAATTTATCACATTAAATGATATATAAATTAATTATTAAGTTGAGTAGTATTCTACAATAAAACAATTGAAACTATTCAATATGATAAGTATTTTAAACCATAAGGAAGCCAAATGTTTATAATTAATAATTTAGGTTTTTCTGTTATCATTGCAATTCTAAGTAGAAAATAAGTATAATATTATTGATCACATTATATGTTTACAATAATATGAAAAAATAAATATATTCAGTCAAAAAAACTAAAAATAAGTATAATTTATAACTAAAAGTTTTAATACTTTAATATGGTTTAAACCCAATTTGCATAATTAATGAAGTGAACGGCACTAAAATTATTAAAAAATTAAATTACATATTTAAAAATGTTGTAAATTAGATAAGTGAGTTTTTCCATTAAAGAAAATCAATTATAATATTTATCTATAAACATACAAATGGCTTTGATTATTATATGTTTGAAAAATTAAATAAACTCAAGATAAATATAAAAAGTATTAAAAACAATAGTATAACACATTGCACATTATAGAGCGGTAAGCCGCCAACATTTCTTTAATAAAAATTTTAATCATAAATAAAAATAAAATTAACTATCGAAACAAACAAACAATCAAAATATCAAAGGTTCATTTGTAATATGAGAAGGAAATAATTGGACTTGTAAAAATAGTCTAATGCTTATATATAAAAAAAAAATAACAATTGTAATACTTTTTAAAATTAGGCCGAATAATTTGATAAGCTCTTAAATCTTAATAAATAAATTGCACATAAAAATGTTTGTGTAACACTATAAATGTTGATTAACAATATTTTTCTCGTAAATCTCAGAATTATTTTTAGTATTAAAGCGCAATTGAACTAAAGATTGGCGGATATATAAAAAAGTTAATTTTGATACTCCTTTTATTTCAATATTCATTACATTTAGATGAATAAAATAATATTTATACCTAATTTTTAACTATTTAATAATAATACTGATTTAAATTTTTGAACAAAAATTCGGAGTACTTACAATAATTTGAACAAATTTCTATTTTTTAAATATTATATATTTTTAATTAGTATTATTGTAAATCAATCATTCATAGGGGCATAAACTTTTTTAATTTTTGGTTTACTTAAAAGAAGATATAATTTTATTTAACGATTAAATATCAAAATTGGTACTCATTTAGCTATCAAGGCATCAAATAAAAGTATTCTGATTCATTAAAAGTAACTAATTAAACTAGTTAGTTCCAAAGAAATAAGTTATGCATTTGAATTTTATCAAACAGCGTTATATATTAAGTAGGGCTCGGAAGTTGGGTGAGTTGGAATTTTTTTTATACACATTTGTTTTATAGTAGATCAAGCAAGAATCCATTCATGTTGTATAGAATTGTAAAAAACAACTATTTAATAGTATTCTGTTAATTTGTGTATGTAAGTTGTTGACACTGGTTAAAGGTACCTTAATCTACCGACAATGGTCAGGCATATATAATCTTACCGATCATGGCTAGACCAGTGTTGAATCCAGGTATACTTAATATTTTCAAAAAAATTTACAATACTCGTTACGATTACAGCACCTAATGGTGTAAATACCATTAAAATATACCGTATTGCCAGTATAGATACTATCTACTGACTTTCCCCCCCAAAAAAACAAGTGAGCCCTCTCTCATAAAAATTTTCTCGATTCACCACTGGTCTAGAAACAGCAATTTATAAAATATAATTTTTTTTTTAATTTTTATATTTTGTTTGTGTATTTATCAATTTTAACTTCCAAGCACTAATTATAACAGTATTTAATGGTTACTACATTGTATGCTTACTTCTAGTTCATCAACTTTTTTCAAGATTATACAAATTTATATATAATTTATTTCTAAATCTTAGTCAATCACAAATAATGAATATACAAGAAATTAAAAATTGAATAAAGTTATAAATATGCAAAATTGATAAAAGATAATTTTATTTGTATACATTTTTGATCTGGATGAACTTGTTTTTTTTTTAAATATTATCTTTTCCATTGATTTACTCAATAATGGTCACTCAACAGTTTCTTATAAATAAAATAATAATATAAATAAAAACGGTATAATTATGTGATTCAAAAAAATGAATTAAATTTTAAATTGCTTTCTACGACCAATCATTAGGTATTTAACTATTCACAAATCATTATACCTTAGGTTTGAATAGCAGTTGTCATTTCTCTGTGTATTGCAGCCAATTCTTGTATACGCACAAATAGGCTATTGTTGAGTGTATCTATAACGCGTCGTTGTGATTCTTGTGCTGCCAAAGCTGTTTCCAATTGTGCTTGTGCTAGACTAACTGCAGCTTGAAGTTCTGCATTCTCTTGACTAAGAACCTAAAAACAATAAAAATTATGGAATTAAATAATTTTTTTTTCTATTCAATAATATGTATATTTTGGTTTTTTATTACCTTGCATTTTTCTTCAAGTGGCATTCTATTCATATTCATCTTTTGGATTTCTTCATTTTTACTTTTCAATTCACCATCAAGGTTTTCAACCTTCAAGCGTAGACTAGTTAACTCATTTCTTAATTCTGAAGCAACTTCTGATCCTCCTGAAGATAATAAGTGAATGGCAATTTGTTAAAAGGGACTCATGTACATTTTCAACTACTTTTCAGGAGAAACAAAAAAAACAGTTTTCCTTTATTTCAATTTGTGTAATAAGTACATAGGTACTTTTTAACAAACAATGAAATATTTCATAATAATTTTGCACAGACAAGATGATACGAAATAGGTACTTTTTAACACGAAACAATGTGTTTACATAAGAGGATGAATAATATACAACAAAACTATTTTTGTCAAAAATGTAACTTGGATCCCTTTTAACAAATTGCCATTCAAGTAAAGTATTGTTCCACTTTTTTAATATTATTATTAATTTGTTAGCATCAATTATAGACCAATTTACCTTTGGCTACTTCAGCGTCAAGGTATCTTGTTTTCAACCGCTGATTTTCCTCTTTATAAGATTGCAGCTGGCGTTTCCATTCATCTACATTAGCTGTGCTTTCTTGCAATGCATTGGTTAATCTTAAGTTATTGTTCTTTAGTGTCTGAAGTTCAATCTCCCATTTTTTTGCATTTGCTGAACTGAACACAGAAATAAGGACATAGGTAGTGATTATTAAAAAAGTTGAATTAACCTTAGAGCAGAACAGGCTTTTAGAATTTTGTTCATAGTTTAAACAATACGAAATATGAACCTAATCAAACTTAGGTACCTTCTAATTAGAAAATAAACTAAAATTAGATGCAACTCCCATCTGTATACGATCTGATGTCAGTAATATAGAAGTGTTCAAAGTTCACCACCAGACATTACCTATTAATATTTAATATACGGTAAAAAACACCGTGCGCTTGATTGTAAAAAATCAATTATGGGTTATTTTTAAATTGTGTTTCTAATAATTGTTGCTTGATAAACAAAACTGATAGTTATGATATTTTCATTGTGACTGGTTAGAAAAAATATAATAATAATATAATTAATTTTTAATATATTTAACTAAAAATACCATGTGCGTGTATTCTCGTGAATATTTTAAATGCGTGTGGTCTAGGGTTATTAATAATAATTTTACCTATGAGTTAAAGCTAATTTTAATCTTTCATTTTCATATTTTAATTGAGATTCAGGTAACATAGAATTTCCACCACTCATGCGTCCATCATTGCTTCCTTGATGTTTTGGACTCTCTGCGGCCTAGATATAAAATGTAAATCGTACAATATAATTGTTATAAAATATTAGTATTAATATTCATTACATGATTAGCATTGGAAATCATAGTTTTAGACATCTGGTTAATCATTTGTTCAGTTGAATTAGTATCTTCAGGAGTAGTATTTGGATCTGTGGGTGTCATGTTGGGAGGTTCAATAATACTTTGACCGTCAGATGACTGACTAATACGTGTAGTTACAGGACTAGCATTAGCACTTGTAATTGGTGTTGTTGAACTCATAAACGATTGTTGAATCTGCTGTGGTCCACTTACTGCCGATTGTCTTGTTTTTTCTTTTACTTCTTCAAACTTGTGTATAAACTAATAAAATATTTAGATGGTATTTATTATTTATAATAGCTAAATTATATGCAAAACATAGATATCTAAGATTGTTTAGTTAATAAATACTTTATTCAGTTCTTGTTCAGAAGAAAACCCAAGACCATAAACAGTATTAGCCCTATTGTCAGTCCACTGACCGAATTTTTGTGATGTTTTTGTAAATGACATATTTGGAGTTATAGTACTGTTAATGACGGCCTAAATTATGTAAAAATTAAGAAATGTGTTAATAATGGTTAGCTTTTAATTTTGTTAGCACATATTTTAGATACATACTTTGCTTCCTTCTACACTAATGATACGATACAATGCCCGGTGGGAGTCGAAAAAGAACGAAACATTGACAGCCACTGTAGATGCCGATATCCATGATTTTTTTGTCTTAGGATCTATGTGGAACACATGGGCCTTGCATGTAAATATTGGCTGCTCTCTATGGTACAGAATTAAATTTTGTAAGAATAAAATAATAGGTACACAAACAACAAATTATATATATTTATACATAACAACACTTACCCCATGGTATCCTTTCCCAGAGTCATAGCCATCAACGAAAAGTGTTTGGAATTTGGAATTCGTGTAAACTGGTTGAGGGACAACCGTATAATACAAATTTACAAATCACCGATATTAGACACCTATTATGTCGACAACAACAATTTGCGATATCTGTACAGTGTACGGTACTATGATAATTCCGTAAGCTTCAAAATGTATAGCTGGAGGTACGCGACCCGGGACTGGGACGTTTTGCGGGCCAAATATTTGTTTATCAATCAATCTCGACGAATACGCTTTTTTGATAAGAAAACAAATTTACCAGAAAATGCGCGTGCGCACCGCGGACCAACGCCCATTTGCTGTGCGGTCTCGTTTATCTCGTGATAGTATCCTCACGATTAAAGATAGTTCTATCTTTAATCGTCAGTATCCTTATGGTTTATCTCTACAGAAAACCAACTTTTTTACTGTTTATAAAAAATATAACAGTGTTTTATTCGGTTTTTTTCTCGTTATTATAATATTCTTTTCATCATAACTCTTATCACCACTGATTGAAAACAAATAATAATAATAAAAATACATCGAGATAGATAAACAATACTGTTTATCTATCTCGATGTAAAAATATAAATAAATAATATGTTATCACGGTAGTCTTATCTGCGATTTTTGTGAGACGATAATAAATAATAATAATCTGAATTTCTGAAAATCCGAACAATATGAACGATACATAGTGTGCTGTGCCTGTCGAGTGTCGAGTACTTACGACGTGCCGAACTGTTGAATGTCGATGACCGCCAAATGCCAACTGCCGACATCGACATCGTAGACCGTAGTGATGAGTGTTGCTGGCGGTGAACTTTGTGGAACCATAGAATAAGGATAAACGTCATCTGAATGTGCTGATCGTTGTTGTTGAATTTTTGCCACCAGTTTAAATGTAATTATATATTATTATATTTGCTGCTTAGCGCTTGTGATTGACCGGTCGTGTAAGGATCGAAGCCTGTCTTCATAATTGTTCTATAAGTTTTCAGTGCAAGTTCCAAAGTTTCGGCAAAATCGTTTTCCTATATTATCATTGCCCACATTGGTTTTTTACTGAATCGAGTTGTTTGGTTTGTTTTGAACCATTGGGTATTTTTATGCATTCCATATTCATTGGATTTCTATTACCCACGTATGATAACATATGATCTCCAAAATTTGTTTTCCTTGTCGATTATTAGCCAACAGTCATGTAATGATAAATGTGTTCATTACAATGTATTTTTTTAGTGAGATACTTATTGATTTTGTTTTTTAGGATTTGATATGGAGAAAACTCAAGAAACTGACACAGACCCACTGATTTCTGATATAAATAATATTGCAATACACGATCCAGTAATTAGTAAATCTGTTACTGAAAATGAGCCTGAACCAAGTAGTTCGGAACAGGGAAGTTCTTATGAAATTTTATTTGATCAACTTAAAGAAAATAACAAACATATATTTGTTTTAAGTACAGCTGGTAAACCTATATACACACGGTAAATATAATATTGTTAGTAAGCATGTGTGGAACAAATGCAGTTGGCCGGACAGTATTCAATGTATTAATAAGATGTAGATTATAAAAATATTAAATAAATAAATATTGTAAATGTTTGGTTTCCGGTAAATTGCATTTGTATCTCAAAAATAACACTTCTTATTAATTTTACTTTTATACGTTTCATGTATAGGTTTGGAAATGAAAACCAAATGGCCTCGCTTTTTGGTTTAATGATAGCTTTAGTGTCGGTGACCCAAGATTCAAATGACACATTACAGTCGATTTGTTGTGGTCAGACTCGAATAGTGTTTTTAAATAAAGATCCTATTATACTGGTCGGCGTTTCCCAAACTTCTGAGCCAAATGACCAAATTAAAAAACAATTAACGTAATTTATAATATACCATAAATACTACATATAAAACTAAATTATTAAAATTTTAATAATTTTAAATTAATATGTTTTTGCTTTCAGATATGTCTATAACAATATAATTAGTACATTGACATTAACCCAGTTAAAAAAAATCTTCCACAATAGGACTAATTTTGATTTAAGGCGATTAATGAGTGGATCTGAAAGATTGATAGACAAGCTTATAACGTTTACTGAGAATGATCCAGGATTTTTATTGGATTCCATTAGTTGTCTACAAATGCCATCTAGTAGCAGAGATAAAATAACACAAACCATATTGACACAATGCAGTAAAATAAAAGTAAAAACTTAATGATATATTTTTAATTGTTTTATTCAATATTAATACATGTTTGGTATCTTTAGAATTTAGTATTTGGTTTATTAATTGCTCAAAAACACGTTATATCGATTGTACGTATGAAAAAATACTCGCTGCATGTATCTGATATTCACTTAATATTAAACCTAATCAATTCAACAGAATCGTTTAAAACAGCAGAGACTTGGACACCTATTTGTTTACCTACATTTGATTCTAGGTAAAAATAATATTCTTTAAATATATTTTTTTCTAAATTGTTAAACCAAAATAATCTTCTCATTATGTTTGTGTTTATAACTTTTTCAGTGGTTACATGCACGCTCATATATCATATTTGGCAGAAGATTGTCAAGCATGTCTAGTTTTGTTAACAATTGATCATAATCTTTTTTTTTCACTATCCGACGCCAAAAGAAAAATCACAGAAGTATGTTTTATTTACTTATTGTTTTAATACTAATCTTGCTTCATTGCATAGTCATTTATAACTATTAGACTGTATGAAAATGTTATTTACCTATTAAATAAATATAAATATATTTTTTTTTGTAACAGAAAATGCGTTGCAATGATTGTCTCCATGAAATCAACGAAGCTATTATTCGTCAACCCGTCAGCTTAGCACGAGCAAATATTACTGGATTACGGCATCTTTTGTATAAGAACAAAAACCGCTCACAACACTGGTGCCCTCCGTTTACTTCTCCATATAATACCATCGCACTACAACAAAACCTCATGTCAGTTTATGGTTCATTGATCAGCCAAATGAATTTCCCTGGCCGTACATTGAAAGTAATTTTTCAACAATTAACAGCTGAAACTATGCTAGCTTGGGTATGTAAATTATGTATAATATGATTATATTATGTAAAAAAATTATATTAGAAGTAAAATTATATGAGTAATTTTGACATTATTCTAGGCAACTGACGATGTTGAATTGTATATGAGTTTTGAGCCTCTAATTTCTAAAGAATGTGCAACAAATGCAGTAACTAAACTAACACAATGGATGAAAAAAGAAGAGGATTCATTGTTTATATTTAATATTCCCATGTTTTAAAATTAGCCATTTATGTAATTGAATCCAGAATTTGTGATAATATTTATTATATATTAATAGGTAATACATATATAAAGTTATACTTAAGAATTATAAATAATAGTAATACATTTTCAACTTTTTAAGTTCTTCTATATTATCTTTCTTTATATCAGTTGGAAAAATAATATGGTAAATGTATAAAATTAAAAATAATAAAGAATGATTGTTAATTATATTATTAGATATTCTTACAGTTAGTTTTTTCAATATTATTTGTAATTTCATGAACTCATTTTATTTAAGAAAAATATAAATTATTTCAACTGCGAATATATTAATTTGAGATACCATCACAATTATAAAAATATTGCTTAGAAAATTATATCTATATAGTTATAAAATATTCAAACATCATGATTTTTTTATATTTGTTGTTACCTACTTACATAATGTAATATAAATTGTAAATTTGTGAAATACTTAACTTATTATTTTATTTATGTGTACTAATGTGCTATGATGAAATGTATAAAAAATAATTAAATTGTTATTATTGTTCTTTGTAATATTCAACATTTTTTTTGTATTATTTTTTAATTTATTTATTATCTCCCTCTTGAATCTTTTCCAAAACGATTGATAGTGTTATCACTTGGTAGAATTTTAAATATTTTCAAAACTGTAATTAATGTTTATATTTTGTTCTCTGTTTAGTTTATGTATTTTGATAATTTATTATATATATATAATATAAATTATTATGTGTGAACTGTAGTTTATAAATTATAATCGAGATTATGGAATGTAAGTACTGTGCAACTATTATTATTATCAATTATTATAATAAATAGCACGATGAGTCAGAACCAGCAAATTGACTCGACTTACGTTGTGATCGGTGGTGGTATAGCTGGTATAAGTTGTGTTGAAGCTTTGAAATTGTATACAACAGAACCAGTGCTTTTAATTTCAGAATCGCCAATTGTTAAAGTGGTCACTGATATAAAGTTTTACACCAAAATTGCTGCGGGATTCAAAGTCGAGGATAGAAATCTCCAATGTATTGAAAATACAGAATACATAATAGATAAAATTATAGCAGTTAACTCAATAGAGCACATCATTTATACAGCAAATCATCGGGAAATCAAGTATAAAAAATTGTGTTTGTGTACAGGCGCTACTCCAAAACTGTTAGATGACAAAGATTATGTTATTGGATTACGTGATACACATTCTGTGGAGTATTTTCAATCAATTGTCGGTACTGCTAATAAAGTATTGATTGTTGGTAATGGTGGTATTGCAACAGATTTGGTTTATAAGTTAAATGGTATTGAAATTATTTGGGTCATTAGGGATGAACACATTAGTTCACATTTCCTGGATGCTGGATCGGCAGAATTTTTTAGTAACTACCTCAACACTCAGCAATCAAGTGACAAAGTGATAAAAAGATTTAGATATTCCGGAGAACGTACCTCTGGAGCTGCACTTGGTCCTGACTGGCACTGTGGCGCAATGTTTGGAAACCATGACGGTAAAAATGTTATTATTGAGTATAAGACTGAAATCAAAAGTATTTCTAAAAGCGATTCAGTAAGAGTAGAATTAACAAACGGCAAAGTGTATGAATGTGATTTTGTAGTATCTGCTACTGGAGTAACACCGAATAGCAATTTGGATATAAGAGACGGTTCTAGTGTCGACATTGCTAGTGATGGTGGTATTAAAGTAGACTGGAAAATGGAAACAAGTCTGTCAGATATTTTTGCAGCCGGTGATGTATGCACTGTAGATTGGACATCTGAACATTGGTTTCAAATGAGACTGTGGACTCAAGCAAGACAAATGGGAATGTATGCAGCCAAGTGCATGCATTCTAAACACATAAATGAAACACTGTTGCAAGACTTTTGTTTTGAACTGTTTACACATGTAACATCATTTTTCGGTTTCAAAGTTATATTATTAGGCTTATATAATGCACAAGGACTGGACAAGAAGGAATGTGAGCTATTGGTTCGTGTTACCAATGGTCAAGAATACATAAAATTAGTATTACAAAACGGAAGAGTAGTTGGTGCAATGCTTATTGGAGATACAGATCTCGAAGAAATGTGTGAGAATTTAATACTGAATCAAATTGATGTAACTAATTTAATGGATGATTTGTTAGATCCTAATATTGATATAGAAGATTATTTTGATTGAATTCAAATTATTTATTTGTTGAAAAAAAATATACATGTATTTACAATTGAAAGCATTGTTTTATTTTCTATAAGGTGATCTTGACCTATGTCTTCTTGATCGTTCTCGATCATGACTTCTACTCCTTCTATGTCGGTCTCTATCTCTTCTATCGCCCCTATCACGATCTCTACGATCACGATCTCGATCTCTATCTCTATTCCTCTTATCACGCTCTCTGTCTCTTCTTTTTTCTTTCACAGGGGAATGTTTATTCCTGTGTTCCTTTTCTCTTCTTTTATCTGTAGACTCTTCTTCATCTGATGATTCAACACCTTCTTCTATGTCCTCTTCAAGTATAGAAACTTTGGGTTCTAACTCATTATTTTCTTCCAGTACATGTCTGCTTTGTATACGTGGTAAAATAACGTCACAAACACGTTCGTCTCGTAGCAATGAGTCAATAAATTCATCGATGTATATAAGCTCGAACTGACCCTCCCGATTTTGTCTTCTTAACTTACGACTGTCTGCCAACAATGGTTCCAGATATTTATAACAATCCACTGACGAGCCTGTCAAACGCATATAAAATGCCCCAAGCGCGCGGACATATTTGAATTCTTCATTTTTTATGAACTCCACAATGATGTCTTTTTCTGGTTGTATTTGCAACATCTTCAACGTCAAACACAAGAAAGGTGTGGGTTTGATATTACCTCCAAATACTCCTCCTATAAATCGCATTAACATGGCCTTGTCCACAAGTAACTCAGCAGACAAAGCAAAGCATTCTTCTTTCCAGAATTTATTGTCGTAAATACGAGACCGGATGATCTTTTCTATCAAATACTGAGGATTTGTCCCGTGAATTGTTTTTGCATCTTTTACCGTTCGATTGGCCATCCTTTTGTCGAGTACTTACTGTTAAATAATAGAAATTGACACGTTATGTTAGTGAATAATCAATATTAAAAAAAAAAACATTTAACTTACACTTGTATTAACTATTAAACCGACTCATGGACAACGATGCACGGAACAGCTCACTGGCCAAGTAACTCAAGTCACTCGTCACTGACTTAAGCAAATACTTTAAAGTTAGTATTTTCTACCGGGTCGGCCCGGTGTATTGTGCTTGTGCATAGTACGCACTACGCCAGTACGGTATTATTCTATAGTATTGTGTATGTACTATGTGGTATAAGGTATTGTGGTACTATGTAATATTAATTATTATGTAAACGACATGACACTGGGACAGCTGCTGCTTACCTGTCAATAGAGAAAACTGGAAAACACGACAAAACGCCGACCAGCCCCACGTCTAAAATACAGTGTAGCCACAGTCAATAAGTATAACGGACAACATATTGTACAGTATTGAGTATTCATTACCCAAACCTGAAACCATACAACAATAGGCCCAAACGGCCGGTGCCCACTGCCCACACTCCACTGTCCAGACTCCACTACTCCAGTAGCACAGAATAGAATAAGCCATTAGCGGATTAGCCAGTAGTCCACTAGTCCAGTGTCAATGTTTATGTGTCATAGAAAGCGTCTTCAGTCTACTCCATAGACATAATATATAAATACATATTGTTTATATATGTCTATGGACTATGGTCTACTCTTGTCTTTCGTGTCTGTTGTTTTGTGGTTGAAGCTTAGCCTATCTCCCTAGTCCCTAGCCATGACCACTAGGCACCAGCTTTGGCCTTTGAGTAGCTTAGTACTTTAGTATACATCATAGAACATGAAAAATTATAATATAATTTAATTCGCTATGGCACAGAGTTTCTGCTGCCATGGACCTAAATATACTCGTTAGGCGGAACATGCATGGTTGGCGGGGTAGAGTGGTACGACCACGCATATACAATATACATAGATGCTAGTATGCACCAATAGCACCATGCAAAATGGTCGACGGTCATACCGATTTTATGGTGCATTAATTAGGAATAGTTATAGTAATTACAAAATTGAAGTATGGTATTGTGGGTGTAGGCCCCCCCAGGTTTGTGTCATCTACATAATTTTAACACCCCCAGTGCTTGGCCTCTATTTGTGCCTATGGGTATAATCCTGATTTTAGATATATCTCAAATCGTGGGTATAAAATGGTATAATATATGTTTTGAGCTTAGATCGAATCAATTCACTAGACCAGAGGTCTCCAAACTTTTTTATTCAAGAGCCACAAAAAAAATCAAATGCTCTTATCGGGCCAAAAGTTTATTAACACATATAATTTTTAATTTTATGATAATATATTAGGTACCTACCTATATAAATAATATGTTTACTTTATATTTTTGTATAAAATATTGTTTACTTTACAATATACTTAAATAAAAAATGTTCTGGGTAAGGCACTGCATTGAATCATTAATTATATAATCCAGAAGATATTGCAATAAAATATACATCATGAGTAGAACTTTTTATTATTATTTTTTTATTAGATAAAAAATTGTTGTCAATATTATTACACATTAATATATTATGTACAATCATTAACATATTTTTATTAATATAATTAATATTATAGATTTTTATAGGAAGGTGCTTTTAAATTAAAATTGATAAAATAATGATAAAAATAGATAAATAATAAATGTCCTTACATTTTAAAATTTGAAACTAGCGAGTTGGAGATGCTTTGTTAGCTTAGCAAACAGCCTTTAGCACTCTCATATATTAACCATAAAATATACAAAAGCTGCTACAAAAAAGAAAATCTTTAGATTTTCTATTACTGTTACTTAATTTTGTATAAATATTCTTATAATAGTTCAACAAAATATTTTCCAACTCAAATATTTAAAAATGTAATCTATTGATAATTTATATATATTTTAATTGTTAGAATCTTAAATACATATAATATTTTATTTCAATAATTTACACATGCATATTAAATTTGTTAACAATAAATATTATCAATGTAATACAAAAAATATGCTTTGATTAGAAGGACAAGAAGCAGTACCAATCATTTACAGAAAATATTTAACCATAATTTGATTAGTTTAATAAGTATTAAAAACAATACATAGCTTTGTATCAATCAAATGTTAGGAAAAAATAATTAAAAAGTGTTAGCATAACTGTTGTTTATTTATTTTCAGTTTGAGCTTGTTGTAATTTCATCTCTAGTACTTCAGTAACAACATTCTGTAACTTCTGTTTTTCTAAACCAATTTGTTGGATGCCTTCCATGCGTTCCACGAGGAAGTTGACACGTCTTTTGAAGTATTGAATCGCGTCGTTAATCTCGAGCTTCAAAAAATATCCAGCCCCTATGCACACAGTCACATGCTCAGGATTGGCTAATTGTCCAGCGGCGTACATGGACTTGGTTAAAGGAATCATCATGGATGTACCAGATGGTCGTCCTTTGGCACTTTCGAGCGCCTCTTGTGAACTAATGTACCTTTTCTGTGCCATCTTCAAAGATTGCAACGAGTCTTGTATTAAACTCACTTCTTTGTATACCTGTTCCTTCATTTTTGCCAATTGCTGCACGTTTAAATTGTTCAGGTCGATCATTTTCCCTGCCATGGCTAAAGAGGTATAACTTGAAAAGGAATTTAGAATTATTAAACTATTAAACTGTGAAGACTTGAGATCGGATGTCTAATGTATTCAGTAATTAGTGACTAATTACTGTTGTAGTCACAGTCTAGTTAGCAGTTAGTACCCTGTGCTCGGATCATTTCTATAATTTCATCTTATATTCTTATCAACAAACATGTGCCAGAGCAGAGTTGATAAGCCAGTGCATGCACCCAAAATTATACAGAAAAAAATTATTGAACATGAAGTTAAAAAGTTTTTTGATTTGTGTAATCTGTAGTTGTAGTATCATACATCATGGTAGATAATATGATATATTATTTACTTTACAATAATTCAATTTTTATTTTTTATATTTCAGTATTAGACGATCTGTACTTTGACTGTTAATAATGATCTATTGATCTAAAATTTTAAGTTTTAGTTGTTACTTGTTAATCATTTTAATTGTTAGTTTAAAAAGTTTAAATAATTGACCGAATTAACCCTGGCTGTTTTTAATTAGGTAAATGTATTAAAAAAACAAGTGTTGGTACATATATACATTTTTTTTGTAGGTATCTAAGTGACATTAAAGCTTAACAAAAATGGCATTGCGAGTGGCTGTTGCCCGTTTAAAAACAGTTGCTGGAGGACCGTCTTTATTACGCATAAACAATACATTTAGTCGTTCGAAACATTTCAATAGTGAGTCACCACTAGCTAAACATGCTAGAAAACGTACCAGCACAGTACGTTTAATAGGCGGTGGTGTGGCCATTGGTGTCGTAGTTGGAGCAGCTTATTCATATTTTTCGGATTCAGAGAGAAAATTGCCTGGTGCGATAGTAAATACTCCAACACAAATACCAATCTTGAAGACATTACCCACTGATCTGAAGGTCACCCGTAAAGTATGGCATTACTCTCAACTTATAGTGTCATTTAAATGCATTGTACATATTTATAATTTACAATTTCAGGTACGACACAATAATGATGAGATTGCCAATATTATTTTATTTCAGTATCCAACTTGTCCATTTTGTTGTAAGGTACGAGCATTTCTTGATTATGTGAAGGTGCCATATGATATCATTGAAGTAGACCCTATTCTCAAACAGCAAATAAGTTGGTCAGATTATAAAAAAGTTCCCATTCTATTAGTAAAATCAAGTAATGGCTACCAACCACTTACCGATAGTACAATGATCGTATCTGCTCTGGCTTCTTATTTAAAAGATAAAACATTTACCATTGAAGATATTGCAAATTTTTATCCATCAATGGTCTATGTTGATGTAGACGGAAAGAGAAAGACGGACATCATGAACAAATATTTTATCATGAATGAAGACGAATCTGAAAAATCAAAACGTTTAAACTTTGAGTAAGTTGTTAATTGGAAATAATCGAATTAACATAATGTGGTATTTTTTTTAGAAATGAAAGGACAATGGAGAAAATGGTCTGATGATACCTTGGTCCATGCCTCTCTCACAAATGCTTACCGTACTCTGTCGGAAGCTGTTGACTCTTTTATAATGTTTTCAATAGCAGGCGAATGGGAGAAAAATTTCCCCTTTTGGGAAACAAGTCTTATGATATATGGTGGTGCCTTTATGATGTGGCTAATTAGTAAAAAATTGAAGAAAAAGTAATTTTATTAAATTATTAAGAATAATTTATGACTACAATAGTTACTGTTTTATAGGTACATGCTAAAAGATGATGTACGTCAATCATTATATGAAGAATGTAATACATGGGTAAAGGCAGTGGAAAAAAATGGTGGAACTTTCATGGGCGGTAATAAACCAAACTTGGCCGATCTAGCTGTGTACGGTACTCTTTCAAGTATCGAAGGCTGTATGGCTTTCAAAGACATACAAGAAAATACTAAAATAAATGTGTGGTTTAGTAATATGAAAAAGGTTGTACTATGATATTGTTCCTATGTTGTTGCCATTTCTTAAAATGCATTTACAAAATAATAAATAGAATGATAAAGGGTCAGTTCTTTAATTTAAGAAAATTAGTTGTTCTTTTTCATTACACTGTATTTCTTTTCAATGAAAACTAGAAATTTGTTATTATATTATCCTAGTTAACTTTCATAATATATTAATTTATATGTTAACTTTCTTGAAATGTATCAATCATACAAGATAGAACAGTTTAACTGTCCCCAAGTGAATGCTTTTATTTTTTTTGACACTGCTGCTGTTTATTATTTATTTTATAAATATATTTATACTCTACTACTAATAGGTATTTCAATGGAGAATGAAAATTATTTACAGAGCTGTATTATTTTTCTCAGTACAACTGTTCATCATCAATGTATTGTAGCAAAACCTTTTTTTATACTAGCAAATATAAATACAAGAAAATAGTTCTAACTTATACTTATTTAATTTTTATTATGTTAATGTTTTGATATATTATTAAGTATACTTATCAGTAGTTACTAATTATCACAATTTACCAAAATATTAATCATCGCTGTCTGTATTAGAAGCTATTCAAATCAGAAGTTGTATTTTCATCAAATTTATTAAATTATTATGTTCAATAATTTAATTATAATATTTTCTTTAGTTTTCATTTATTTGTATAATGCAAATTATGTTCAACATTTTGGGAAAACACCCTAAATTTATTATGAATGGTGTTAAATTTGAATTCAATGATATAATGTCAATGGATAAGTAAAAAGATTTTGAGCGGAGCTGTTAAGGGGACGTTACAGTGACATTTGTTGTCTCTGTCTTACAAGCACGTAACATAGCAAATTTTACTCTCAGCAGAACACATTACGCGAGCCTGAACAATCCAAACCCGTCTTCGATTCTCCACACCAAGTTTAATATATTATTATATATTTATATGTACCTTTTTGCATATTATACTATACTTCGGGTATCACCTTAGGCTTGCGCAAACTGGTAGCCGGAAGAGAAGTAATGGTAACGCAGTTCCTCCTCCGTCCGTCGATTAACTAGGAAAAAAAATAAATGTTTGCGCAAAGTATTTAAAACAATATAATATTATTAATATTTTTATTTTATACACCCATTATATACTTCATATATTTTATAAATACACTTGCACTATTTTTAGTGCAGTTTATACCCTAGATATAGGTAGGTACCTATTAATTATTTTGAAATTATATATTCTACTATATTATTTTTGGTTATAATATAATATTATAAATTATGACTATACAATTTAATATAAATCGTTGTTCTCAAGACTCATAGTCTTAAAACGTAGGTAGGTACTCTTTTCTGGACTTTTTCAAAACGGATTATCATTATGCTTTAAAAAGAGGCATATTGGTCGTAGCAGTTGTTAGTAGTGATGTTAAAAAGTAGCAGTCACTGCTACTTTTCACTGTGACTGAACGAGTAGCAGTAACAGTGCCTGCTACTAATACATAAAATAACAGTGATCACTGATCACATTATCATTACTTGTTATCAGTTATTCAATTATCATCTAGCAAATTCACAGTGTGATAAATATTTTTCACAATTTAAAAACCCTGTAAAGTAAATCACTATTATCACTGTTACAAGACGCCAAGACGGCGACGTACGACGTACCTCTTATAATAATATTATATTTATTTATTTATTTATAATATATAAACGCCAAACGGCAATTCTAAATTAACACATTAAGTTTAAAATTAATAGATATAACAATAATATAATACAAATTCACACAAATTAGAACATATGGAAAAACACAACATAATATAAACTAAGTGGTAATACCTTAATTTAGTAATGTATAACTATGATACAACATATTTATAAATGATATTATTTAATTACTTATTAAAATCAAAATTAAGATTGTTCAGATTACGAAGCATTCTGTGCAAGGGGTGATTATGTCCGTATAATGTATTGTGAGTCGGAACTTGGAAGAGTGCGTGATTTCTGGAGAAGAAGGAAGGGATACGGAAACATATTTTAGAGAGGAGATCGGGTGCATCTATGGTGCCACCTAGGAGCGAGGTTAAAAAGCGCTCATCAGCATCTTGTCGACGAGTTGACAGCATTGGTATACCCAATGAACTACGAATTAATGAATAGTCATGCATTGGGTGAGGTATCTTCATTATGTAGGCAATGTAGGAAAGAAATCTATTTTGTACACGCTCGAGTCTTAGTTCGTCTTTAGCAAGGTAGGGATGCCACACTACCACACCGTATTCTAATATAGAACGTACTAATGAGAAGTATAATGTGCAGAGACAACGAGCAGAAGAAAACTGACTAGTATTGCGTTTAATAAAACCCAATACTTTTAAAGCTTTACCTACAGTGACATTAATATGGTGCTCAAAATTTAATGATGGTGAGTAATGAATACCAAGATCTTTATAGAGGAAGACACGGTTAAGAGAAGTGCCATTAAGAGAATAGTTGTGGTGGATAGGAGATCGCTGCCTAGAAAACGACATAACATGACATTTGCTTATATTAAGGCTAAGACCAATGGAGTACGCCCAACTTGCAAAAATATCTAGTTCAGACTGTAGGATATGACATTGATTAAGATTGTCTATTTTAAGGAATATTTTTATATCATCAGCAAAAAGAAGGAGTTTAGCCTTAGTGATCCATTTGGTTATCGAGTTCACAAACAGAATAAATAAAAGAGGACTAAGGTGGCCTCCTTGAGGGACTCCAGATGGTATTACAGCTAACTCCGAAACAGCATTTTTGATTTTTATGAATTGTTTTCTACCTGTGATGTAAGAGTGCAACCAAGATAGTAGGGGATTCCCAATGCCTAAAGACTTAAGTACCATTATAAGGCAATCGTGGTCCACTGTGTCAAATGCTTTATTAAAGTCTGTAAAGATTACATCTACCTGACCTCTGTGTTCGATAACTTCTGATAAATAAGAGGAGAAGGCAACACCACTTGTAACGGTTGATTTATGCGATCTAAAACCATGCTGCTCACTTATAATAAGATGATTAAGACTACGCTTTATTCTGGAGTATACAATCGATTCGAATAATTTACCAATATGTGGTATTATAGAAATTGGTCTGTAGTTTTGGATATCAGAAGCGTCACCAGATTTCAGAACAGGTGCTATAGAGGATATTTTCCAAACCTTAGGAAAAATACCTAAATCTAATGAACGCCTGAATAGTAAATATATTGGATAAGCAATAGAAAAACGACAATTGTACAAGCATTGAGCGGATATGTCATCTGGACCATTAGAGTAAGTATTTTTTAACGATTTAAGAGCGGAAAAAACATCGTCAACAGAAAACGTTATATCGGAAGGAAGTTCATAGGATAAGTAATCAGATGAGCCAGTAAATGGTGAAAGTTGGAAAGCCGAGGAGTTGAACGTCGAAGAGAAATGAGTTGAAAACAGATTAGCTGATTCAGTTGGAGTATTTGAGACAATATTACCGAGATGGAGTGATGACGGAATTGGAGGTTTCTGTTTTAGATTATTTACAAATTTCCAGAATTTGGAGGGGGAAGATGATAGAGCCTCCTCGGTATGCCTAATATGAGCAGAGTAATCAACTTTTGACTGGCGTTTACATTTTGCTCTATATTCAGAGAAAACAAGATAATCAGATATCGACTTGGTTCGCTTATAAACAGCATGGGCTTTCTTCTTGGTTATTATAAGATGTTTGAGAATGGTGGATGTCCATTTAGGAAATTTAGAAGGTGAAAAAACTTTGATGGGAACAAACTTATTTATAGAGCTTAAAAGTGCATCGTTAAAGACAACAGCAGAATCATCAACTGAATAAAGCGAAAAAGTATTTTCCCAATCAAACGATCCTAGATAACGGAGCATGGATTTATAATCAGCCGATTTAAAATCACGGTATGTACGTGTGTCTTGAGCAGTTATCGGAGTTGGAAATGGAAAAGATACAAACAAAGGTGGGTGGTAAGAATCCGGAGAAACGATTGGAGTGTTGGCAAGTTGGACAGTAGGTGTGTCAAAACTAGAAAAGACAAGGTCAAGAAGGCATCCACGGGCATTAGGCACTTGGTTGAGCTGGTAAAAATTATAGTACGAGAAAGAATCGACAAGATGAGTAGAAGTGTTAGACATGGTACCAGATGCGAAAAGACCTTGGTTGCTTTTAGACCATTTAATAAGAGGTAGATTATAGTCACCACAGAGAATAATAGATGTAGGGTTGGTAGATGATATTAAGTGTTCGATAGAGCTGGTATGGGCCTCAAAATCTGGGAGCGTGGACATAGGTGGTAAGTAAACTGCACCTATAAGAATTTTAAATGAATTAATGGACAGAAGGGTATATACTTGCTCGAGCGTGTTGAGGTTTGTACAGATAAGAGATGTTTTAATATAAGACTTGATTGCAATGAGAACACCACCTCCTCGTGAGTAGTTACTGTTAAGATAATTTCTGTCAACCCTGAAGATTTGATAGCCATTGAGCCCAAGTTCAGAGTCATGGACGTCAGAAGAGAGCCATGTTTCTGTGAGGATAATAACATCATAACAAATAAAAAGGGGAATGGAGCATCTAAAATTACTTAATTTAGTTTTTAACCCACGGACATTTTGGTAGAAAATGTTTAAACTATTTAGATTACAATTCAAATGATTATTATTTTTAAAGCGGTTTACAAAATCAAAAAATTCAGTAGATGTATTAACAGATAATTTACAAAGATAACATGAAGCCAGGGGTACCAAATGTAAACATTGAGGATCGATGAGATATGATGATGATTGACTGACGTCACCACAGGTCCCTGGGTGGTCCAAGCTGGTTAGTTTTTTGCTAGGGTGACATGACGATGAGTAGTATGATTTAATTGAAAATCCTTCTTTGCCTGGACAATGGAAGGAACGCCGTTGAAATGTCTGACCACTATATTATTTTCTCCGTTCTTCCTACGCTGTTCCAAATCGGCATATACCTGACGTACTTGTTGCCGTTCCATTAATGTACGATCACGAACAACCGACACCAATAATGGTGGGTCGGTAGTAGTACGAGAGCGCATACCGGTTACAAAGTCCTTAATGAATTGTTGGGAAGTGATCTTTGATGAAAATATGACTTTTAATGGGCGAGGGTTCTTACCAATAGTGCGACCCAACCTGATCATCTTCACATCTGAAGGCAGAGACATAGCAAGTGGTAGAATGGACTCAGACAGATGCTGTAGGTCATCAGATAAACGTTCAGTTGGTATAGTAGCAGAAGATTCAATAAGTCCGTAGACGATGGCATTAAAAGAACATTTTTCTCTTTCTGATAGTTCTTGAAGAAGCTGAGGAATATTGTCTCCAGATGAAGAGGGCAATTTACCCACGTCAGATTCAATGACACCGATCCTATTATTGAGAGTAGAAAGTTCGTTACGAAGAGAGGTATTATCTGCTCTTACATCAACAATTTGTGAAGCTAGTGAATCAACACTAGCTTGAAGTTCACAAAACTTTTTGTTGAATGAAAGGGATAGAGCCTTACATTGAGCCAAAGTAGCATCCTGAGTTTTACGCATGGCCGAAATTACTCGATTAAATTCTTCAGACGATAGTGGGGTGGTTGAAGGCGGAACTGAAGACTTGGCAGATCTGAGCAACCTTTGCTGGTCAGAGACTACAGGTGAATTAAGATTATCCGAAGACATAGTAGAATTCGTGGCAGATAAAACTCCTTAAATTAAAAGAGATACAAGACAAATAGCAGTAGTGATTAAACGCCTTGAATAATCAGTTAAAGCAAAATAGTCTGATTCCAATATAAACGATTAATTATATAATTAAGGTATACACAATACACGTCATAATACGCAATAAACAACTTGTATAGACCATAGATGAAGCTAAATAGTTATAATATGAATTATAATGTCATGTTTTTATATAAATCTCTAATTCAACTAGTACCAAAAAACAAAGATTTTCATACTATACAGTCAATCTATAATATTTGGGACCTATAATTATTTGCAAAAAATACCTAATAATTATAATATTATTTAAATTTATGCGGGAAATGTTGGTAAATACTAAATTATCATATTATGCATAGATTATAGAACCTTATATCTTAAACCATAATTTTAAAATATAATCAATTGTTCCCCTTGATAATTGATTACCGCTGATAAGACCAGTATGTACTATGTCCTATAAATATCTTTATTATCCATTTATCCATATTATTCAGCGGAGAACATGTAAAATAACATATAAATGATACACAGTGTACCAGTAACATCTTATCACTTTAAATCGCCAATAGATATGTGAAAGTAAAAAGTAGCAGTTAAAGTAGCAATCACTGCTATTTTCACTGTGATTTATACTATCACAGTAGCAAATTCACAGTGTGATAGATATTTTTCACAGTTTAACATCACTAGTTGTTAGATCAACCCGTATGACATAAAACAGTAAATAATCATAAGCGGAAATCTTTTAAAATATCAGGGGGTCTAACATTATTAACATCAATGTGAGTGGGGGAGGGGGGCTTCGATCCTACAAAACTAAAAAAGGAGGAAATTTGACTAATTTGAGGTTATCTACACTTCATAAATATTTTTTCGATTGAAATCGTGTAAATAATTTAATTAAACAATCGGGTATCACTAGTATCTATAAATTTTATTATATTACTGCAACTGTATAAGATCACTGGCACCAGGTGGCAGAATGCATTTTAAAAATTAAAAACATAAAATAAAATATAAAATAATTTAATAATGCTGTAGTAAAAGCTGGAAAATGCAGTTTATTTTAATTTATAATCCAATTAATGTAGGTAATAACTATTAAATTCATCAATTTGTCATAAAATTGTCAGAGGGCACCAAAATCTTAAATACGGCCCTGGACATAATAATAGGCACCTAACGCATTCATGTATGTATTAGTTTCACTCTTTATATAGGTATTAAGCAAATTAATTGCAAATAATTGCAAATTGGTTTTTAGAATTTGCAAATCAAGTGCAAAGTCGCAAATTAAAAAAAATATTGGGGGGCTAACTTCATGCAGCCTCCCCCCCTCACTTTGTCCGTTCCGTTCCATACCAACGTCAATATTTTGCAAATCAATTGCAAATAATTGCAAATTGGTTTTTAGAATTTACAAATTTGGTCAGCCTCCCCAATTATTCCGACCAGATCCAAAACAAAGTCAATATTTAGCGAATCAATTACAATTAAAATAGTATAATAAAAGGATATAATATTTTTCCGGTAGTCGAGTACCTACTCGAGTTCTATATATAGACAGTAGACAATTGACTTGTGAAGAAATGTTATTTTGGCAAGGTGGGTATAAAACCAAGAAATCCTTGAATGCAATATTAAAAAATACAAGCTTACACAATATAATAGTTAGGTAGGTATAATACAAATTAAACATTATACATAAAATATATAATATCTGTAACGCACAGGTCATAAGAATACTGTTGAACATATTTTTACTACATGCTGTATTGCTGTGTGTTATTTCAGAGATGGTATTAAGACCTAAAATAAATATTTAATGTCACGAAAAATGTGCTATCCAAGTGTCGTAGGGCGTAGACGCATATTTTAGTTTCGAACTAGAAAAGTATAAAATACATCGTCGTCATTTCTCCAGTTCCCGTTCGTAGAATAATATTATAAATAATAGGTGCATACCTAGGTACTATTTAGGTCCTTAATATAGACATATTATATGTTTTGGTTTAATTTATAGAAATACATGTTATATACTTATGTACCTACAGCCTATCCTGATTTCTGACCACCCCATGTGTGCACATAATAGGTACATATGAATAATATACTTAATATAGGTACTATCTACTCGTATAGTCGTATGTGTTACACTCATAGATAATATAAGAATGGATAGGACATGCCTATACCAGTTCCATATGAGGCCGTGTGCTTTTTGGGGAAGAGAGAACGTAAAGAGAGAAAGACGATATGAGGCTTTTTAAGGTTATGTGCAAAACTATTTTATTAAATAATAATAATAATAACATGATAGTCAGTTATATTTAGATATTTGTCAGTTTGTATTTTGATTGTTGTGCCACCTGTGCCTGGAAAATGGAAATTGGAAAATATAATTTTAACAAAATGAAATTATATAAATTTTATTTATTATTATTTATCAATTATCATATCAATATTTGCCTTATATAACCTTAAAAATAGTATCACTAAATTTTCATGTGATAAGTTCTTATGTCCTATCCATTCTTATATTATCTATGGTTACACTTTTATATTTGTGAAATGTCGTATTTTGACATATTCATATCTCGCAGTTGTTTGTTGGTACATGTGGTACATGTTGGTACTTAGATCATACCACGGACTACCATAATATACAGTGATCTAAAAGTTGGTAACGCTCTTCCGTCAACTTTGTGAGTGTGTGACAGACCGAGACCACGACAGACGCGTGTCTACACGCGTCACGAGCGGGTGTAGAACCGGTTGAGTTATCACGTCATTGATAACGATTTTGGCTGTTATCAAGTGTCAACTAACAAATTAAAATTCGAAATAGAAATTAGAAAGTAAAAGTTAAACTAATAAGTAATAGAAGCGTCTAGTTTTTCAATCCAAAAAATAAAGTTTGCGACTACTTACATAGAGACAATTGTGTTTTAATAGGAATTAATCGAAAGACTTTGAGTAATGGCGGTATGTAAATATATGAATAGTAAATACTTATATTTAATAGTTAACAGGACTAATGCTATGTAAATTTGATTTGTTTCTAACAGCCCCAAAAAGGTAAAACTGGTACTAAAGGCCAAAAACAAATACTTGAGGAGAATGAAGCCACATTGAAGTTTTATAGAAATATGATTGGAGCAGTTAGCGCTGTATACATAATAGTTCATTTGGCTTTTGGAAATGTTTTTTCTCTTACAAACATTGTAAGTAAAATATTATTATTTACAGTCAATGGTTTAATGAAATAAAAGTAATAATCTGCTTTTCTAAGAGGTCAAAGATTTTGTGTAGGTAAACATTAAAAATATAGTAGGTAAATGGAACAGTTAGGGTTTTATAATTTTGAATGAAGAAAAATAATGGTTATGTTATATATTAAGTATTGTGATGAGAAGGGATTCTTTTAATTGTTCTTAATCATTGTATTTTGTATTTAATTATATAAAATTATATTTTAGTATTAAAAAAAAAAGTAATACTTACTAATGAATATTAATTTCAAAAACATCCAGCTGTATGATATAGAATGATTTCTAGCAGCAACTTACTTCATGAAAATAATTAACAATTATACATTTTTTTTTAAATATAATTAATTAAATGAACATAAAGGAAATTAAATATTTCTATTCTCTTGGTTGCAGTTTAGTATGACATTGACATAGTGTTATGTATAATTTTAATTTAAACTGAATTATTCTATTTTTTATTTTTTATATTTTCTTAATAGTATTTGAAACTCAGAAACAATTAGTGTTTGATAATATGATATTTTGTGTTGCTTCAAGTCCTAAATATCTTTCTATCTGGGAATAAGCAGTGCCGAATAGCTACAACAATTTTACCAATCTATAGTTTCTGTAACCTGTTTTCTCTACTCTAATTAAGTTCCTACAGCTTGAATTGATTGTAGATTATATTATTATTGTACAACATTTAATTAGTTTTGAATTAATGCATATTATAATAATTATATTCAGTATTTCATTAGCATTGAAATATTTTGTATTACCTTTGTAACAATTTTGTCAATAAATAATTTTCTTTTTACAGTTTCTATATACTCTTGTTATTGCATCACATGGTGGTAGCTATAAATTTATGGCATACATGTCAGTTGCTAAATTTACTGAAAATGGTCAGTTACTTGATGCGGGTACAGATCTCAACATGGAAGGTGGTTTAGCCGAGTAATTATATAGTATTATTGTTATAATTAAATTATCATGGATATTTCCTATTTGCATATATATTTTTTAATCTATATTGTATTTTTATTTTAGGTATACAAAAGACTTGATTATATTAACATCAGGTTGTCAATTATTATCACTTATTTCTAATTACTTTTGGTTTCTATGGCTCCTAGTAAGTTGAAAAAAATAGTTTTGTATGATTATGTAGATATTACTTCATGAATTACATTTTAAAGGCACCTGGTCAAGCATTCTGGATATTATGGAAAAACTTTTTAGGACCCTATTTTATGCAAAAAGCACCAGAAGATAACTCACCAGAAATAAATGAGAAAAAACAAAAGAAATTGGAGAGGAGGAAAAAACGACAGCAAAATGTACGGTTTTAATGATTTTGGTTGATATATTGAGCTTAATTATTATTTTTAAAATAAATTATATTTTTGTTATAACTTTGAATTTTTTTTTTATACGACTTGATATAACATTTTATAATTATATTTATACATTGTAATTCTATTTGTATATTCTTTAAATAATATGTTCATATTTGTAATTGTTAACATCTATAGTCAATTATTATGCTTATTGCTTTTGAAGAATGTGCTAAAATATGTTATGTATTGATAATATATCAAAAATTCATAAAGTAAAATGTTTAAAATGTATAAAATGTTGAGTCACAGGACATGTAATGAACTATTACAGTGATTTTCGACTTTATAAGACTCGCAATCCATTTTCGTTATAATTTATTTTTTGCAACTCACATAGAGCTCCCATGACTCCAAATTGGGTAGCATTTTTTTTTTTTTGCTTAGAATTTAATACAATATTTACCATACATGGTATACATGGTTATTATAAAACAAAATTGGTACAATAGATTTTAGTGATAAAATGTATACATAATACTCGAAACAACTTTTTTGTTGGTTGAATCATGGACAAGCTAAAAAATTACCCCTTATGAAAGTAGTTTAACTCACTTCACACTTGCCTTGCATCGTTTGTTATTGTTTAATAGTATATAACTAAGTACAACTGTAGTAGGTTCTTCACAAGTAGAAGTTGGGTGGTAGGTACAAAATATGAGGGGTTCTAAATATTCTAATACTCTATCTGCTATTGTTTCCAGCTTGGCCTTCGGAAATGGTACATTTTCTGGTAACTGTTTGGAGGCATGAGATAGGGTTATCTAACATTCTAACTGACTAACTATTTTCTTATAATATTAATAGGTACATCCATTAAACCTGTCACATATTATGACAAATGTACTGATGAGTGATGCCGGAAATCGGATTTCAATTCAAGCTGACAACAGCTGCAGGTTTCCGGTTGCACTAACAATAATTAGAATATTTATTAATATTGATTAGGTAAGTAGGTACATTTATTATAATTTTTATAAAAAGTACCTATTTACTTTTTTATAGTTTTATCATAACATTGCTGATAAAGAGCCATTGATCATAACGCCTAGTCAATATTCACATTTATTAGGCATTGTCAAAAATGACTAACAAATAATATCGGTTCCTAGTTCCTACATAAAACGAGCAATTTCATTATTGCCTAGGTATAGTTATTCTTTAATCATTAAGTTCTCTTCACATCTCTTGACAGTTCCAAATCAGCAATCATCATAATTTCTGCTAACATTGGCATTGTTAAAAAAGGTGAGCAAGTGGGTGTAGCTCTGCTGTACAGTAGATTACAAGTGGACACGGCCGTATTTGAGGGAGGGAAACGGGGAAATTTTCCCCGGTGCCCAATTATTGACACATCTGGGGGGGGGGGGGTAGGCACCGGTGGGCACTGGACAGTGTATATTATATATAAATACCTAACATTGTTGACACGAGGCTCAAAAAGTGTAAATACGGTCCTGCTAGTGGGTCATGGTAATGGATGATATACGTAACATTTGAATTCAATGATATAATATTATTGTATAAGAAAAATGATTCTGAGCGAAGACGGCCAGTCAGCCTATGATATTAATGATATTACTTAGTAGGTAAATTTAGTGATATTATTGCCTATTTATGTGGAACCTTGTTTTAAATTTTCAATCCTAAGCTATAATAGTTGAACATTTTATACGTTTTTAACTACAAAATAATTATTAAATTTGATACATTTTGTAAAAAAATTAACTTTAAATGCTTATAAAAAAAAATTGTACCTATGTATTTTTAATATTTTTCAACTGCTATTGTAGTAATGTAACAATATATCAGGAGCCTTGTATTAAATTTTCACGCTTTTTACCCAACAAATAGTTATTGATATTTAGATGTAAAAATCAAAATATTTATGAATTTCTAACAAAATAATTTGAAAATGTTCGTGATTTTTCAGTATTTGGTCAAGATTTGAACTTTAAATCATTAAATGCTTATAAAAAGAACTGTGACTAAGGATTTTAATATTTTTTAAATGTCATTGTAACAATATAGTAGAACTTAGGAGCCTTGTAGTAAATTTTCAATCCTTAGCTATAAAGTTGAACATTATATACATTTTTAACTAGACAAAATAATAGTTAAATTTTAAATTTGATACATGTTATCAAAGGAATTGATAAAATAAACATTTGACATAAATTTCGAGTATCTACGGTTATTAGTTATTGATTTACAAAAAAATAAGTAAATCACTACATGAGAAATTGATTTAAGGTAGACAAACTTAATACTAATAAGTAAATAGTAATAAGGAATCTTGTATTATATTTTAAAATCTTAGGTATATTTAAAAAGAAAAATGCTTAAATGCTTTCAAAAAAAAAATTGTCTACCTATGTATTTTTAATATTTTTTAACCGTCATTGTAACAATAGATATATATCAGGAGGAGCCTTGTATTCAATTTTCAAGCTTTTTGACCCAACGAATAAAGTTGTATAGAAATTTACAGAAAAAAAAAACTAAAAAACTGGAATATGTGAAAATTGTATTGTGTGTATAAAATGATAATATAAACATTCAGTGAACATTTTCATGTATCTACAAACGGTCATTTGTTTTAGAGTTACCAAAAACCAAAATCGTTTTTGCCCGAAAATTCTTGTTTTTCCTTAATTTTTATGTCGTCTTTCGCGGCGCTTTTGAAAACTATTGACCAACCGAAGCACCAACTACCGATTCACTTTCCAATCGAACAAGGTACTGTTGAAGAAAATCGAAGCAGTTTTACTGCCCCATGATGACAGGCACAAAAAAAAAAATTAAAAAAAAACACACATCATTGTAAAATCGATACATTCATCGCTCCTCTCAGAATCTAAAACACTGGTATCTACCTACACATAGTCACGTAGATATCTTTAGAAATTATTGTTACCTACTTGTTATATAACAATAATTTCTTATTTCTATTAATAATCAAAATAAGGTCATGTGACTATGAAGACATGAATCATAATTTATAGCCGAAGCCCATAGGTAATAAACTAATAACTAATAATACTTATTATAAGTTATAATGGCTAATTGCCAAACTGCAATGTATTACCTGTAGGGATATACTGTGTATCTATTCACTATTGAAATATTGAGTGGTCATAATATTATACTCGGAAATAAACGAATAAAATAATAAAATTACATAAACATATCCTCCTATACTGTCGAAACTACGCAGACACAAGAACAGCCTTAGGTATTCCTGAGCATCTATATGAAGCACTTGGACCCGATCACGAAAGTAATATCAAAATCTTAAAGTTTCTTAAAGTTACTAAATTGTATAACCTCATCTGACATTTGTATTTTTTTTATATTGTACTTATATACTTTAACGTTAAAAACATGTAAACTACTTTCATTGTACTTAATATGTATAATTACCTCTAGCACATAAGTTAATTTTTATATTGTGCATTATGCCAATAACCTTAGTTGTTGTGGCTCAAATTAATAAAAAAAAAATAAAATTACAAATATACCTATTATATAATTGCTGTGATATTGGTATAATAATATAGGTAGGTACTATAATTGGATAAGTTTATGACTTTGACAACATAATAATATGTGCTTGTGGCTTGTACTACATGAGTACCTATTGCAGGCTATTGAGAAAGTACATATATATATGACTTGTAGTGTATGGTGTACCTATGTCTATATACCCATGGGATGGGTGGATAGGCATTTCCCGAGTATTCATTGATTCAATGCCCGAAACCGGGCATTTCCCGGTGGGCCCCCACTTCGTATTTCAGCAATGGTTAACGCAATGACTCATTAATATTATACAATTACATTTGACATTTCAAATATTATATTATTATAATCTTATATCTATAAATCTATTACTATTCTGTGCCCTGTGGTATTTTACAAGAGATTTCTTATCGTCTATCGGCCCGCAGCCGCCACTCTGCCACCAACTACAACTATCACGTGGATTACCGGTTGGCGGCGGGTAGTGGTCATCGTTGTGAGTTGGGACTGTTAAGGTGGGTAAATAACTCACAAATATTCTGAAAAAAATTGATTCTGAAGACATCATTAATAAATTAGGAGCTATAGAGGCCCAGTATTTGGTAAATGTTATTATTAAAAAAATTAAAAAATGATAAATGATAATAAATGATTTTAAAAATATGTTTTGTTGTACATTGTTTTCTTTTCATATGGTAGCTCTAATAATTCACCTAATCTAAGAGCTTATTTTTTTGTTTCATGAGGGCCATGGGGCCCCTTTTAATAATTTCCCGGTAGGCCAAAAATGGCCTATCTGCTCATATATATACCTACCTACTATTACATTAAATTATTAAAAGGACTCTATGTCTCTACTTATAGTTTGTACTGCCTTTTGCCTACTGTAAACAAAATCGCATGATTCGTTGTTAGCGCTGAATTTTTATTTGGTCAAGGTCGATGCATCTTTTTAATTTCGTTTTCACCTATATTTATTATCATTAACGTTATTTTTATATTACTTACCAGCTATTGTACTTTTACTTAAAACCTGTTGAACGTGTTTATTATAGGTACCTATCCTACAATTTTTGAATCCCGAATTATGAGACGATTTATGTTTAAAAAGTATAGGTTAAGTATATCAAGTTAAAAAAAGCTACCTTATGCTTATGGTGAAATTTCAATATTAAACTTACCTATTGTCTTTTAGTCGCTAGAGCCTATAGAATTAGTACTTTAAATTTTAATAGACTTTTAGGTAGATATATCCATATTTGTAAATAAATATATGTCAATGCCAAGTACTTGTGTGAGTGTAGTTTGACATGTTGTTTTGAGTATAATTAGTATGAGCTAATGCCATAGACCTATAGGTATATGGTTAATGCTATTGGTATATATCAGGTACCTACCTACCTATATAAAATAATAATCAATTAATAACTAAT